TATCCTATAAAAAAAAAACAAAAATATTTCCTTTTCCTCTCTGTATTATTACTGGATGTCGCCGTATAGAGGCAGCGTAAGAAAATACACCACTTCGTATTATCCGTGAGTGTCGGAAGAGGTGAAAGAGAGAAATGAAACAGAAGATAGACAGCAGCGTGCTCTTGATAACAGTTCGGAAAAAGGATTATTAAACTACGTTTGTCAATCCGCCTACCAAACATTGCAACTGTGTGAAATATCCCGGCTATGAGGCAGCCTAAGGGGGCTATAAGACTGTGTTCAACGGTGGATATTTGAGAGGCTGCAATTATGATGATGAAGATGATGTTAATGTAGTAATCTTTATAGTTATATGTATTATATTAAATGCTTACAAAACTAAAGTATCTACGCTTACGTATGGACACTTCCTCACGTAGATGTCATTTATTATAAATTTGTTCTATATTGTTATTGTGTATCCAAGTTCACTTATAAATTCCGAGCAAGCACCGAACAGATTTTTGTAAATCTCTTACATTACGAGTTCATGGCGAGCCTCGACCGGAGGTAAGATCATTTTAAGCCGTGAGAACAGTTTTGTTTTATAAACTCTTCACAACAACATGTTGTGTTAAAATAATAATAAGTTTGGTGATAGGAATATTTATTATATCATTTGATTTTGATTTGTATTTTTGGACATAGATGGAATATTTATAATTTTTAAAGAGGTTACCTTCATAAAATGGACCATTTACTACTGATTTACTTACCTTTTATGATAAATAAGAAGAAGAAAAATAATATGAAAATTGTTTTGATTAAGTTTTAATAACTTAGTTACAAAAATCAATGCTTCGAATAAAATAGGCCGCAGTTTTCCTTCAATGACACTGAGTGCTAAACGAACTGATGTTCCACTTGATGTTATGTCGTTATTGTATGCATGTTGTCATATTATGGTTTGACCAATAGTTTTTGAGTTATTCTTAATAATTTATACTGAACTCGTTTGTACAAAATTTTAAATTTTAAATTATACACTATGTAGAGAAATCATCACAACTCACAAAGTAATTATGGTTACTGTACTAAATTTATTATTTGAGCATTTTGACTATAAAAATAAAAATAAAATAAAATGAATTTATTTCAGACTTTCAGTCCATAACAGGGTTAGTACAAAATATGAACTTACAAATTATGTTAGTAAAACAGAATAAAAAAATACACTATGACATTAACAGTTTGTGATACCAGTTTTACACGTATATGTATATACCCAGTGCCTCAAGACTGGACACTGGCTTATCACTAATGATATTCAGAATAGTGTTGAAACTCCCTATATAACTATACTTGACTCCTTGTACGTTTTCTTGTATCTGTGGTATATGTTCTGGAATTGTTACAGGAATGCTTGTTTTTCTACTAGTTATATATTTTGCTCCCAATTCTTTTCCCAATTACAATAAAAAGTCACTGCATTTAATTTTGCTGTTGTTAATAATATATATTTATATGGTTTCAAAAATACCTATGCATTTATACCCACTAAATCTAACATATAATAAAATTTATGAACTGGCCAACGTCTTGAACGCGCATTTATATTTACGACCCATTTGATCTACGACATCTACTCCCAATCCGAGCTCTTTTAAAATAACACAGAGTCAGGTTTTTTTTTTACCTAGAGTCTATTATTATATCGGGATGCATAACGCTGAGCATTAGGAAATTTTAATTAGGCTTAGCCTGATAAACAATCAAAGATATATTACATATTTTTAGCAAAAATGTACGAAGTAACAGTTTTGCCGTCGTCACGGAAACTGGTATTTCTCTGTGAGCTCTATTGACTGTGCCTACGTGACTAGTATTTTAGACTTCGAAAATTCTGCTTATGGGAGGGAAGTGAAAAAGTTATCATAAGTAACATTTCTTATTGGTGTAAGGTAATGTTAAGGTAAATTTCTTCACAACCCAGTCACTTAAATGCTAATTTGGTCTATTATAATTTTTTCCAAGATAAGGAAATGCATTTATCACATCATTTTGATCTTTTTCTTCAGTCGCGTTCATTAAAACACCAACAACAGTTATAAAAATAACTGGCCAGTGTGAATCGCACTTGCGCATGAAGGGTTCCTTACCATCGTAAAATACGTTTCTAGTAGGGAGCCCCTCTTAATTTTTAATTTATTTTTATTTTATTATTTGTTGTTTATAGCAATAGAAATACACATTTTGTGAAAATTTCAACTATGTACCTATTACGGATCAATAAATACAACCCGTTGGCAGACAGGCGGACGTATATACGGACGGACGGACGGACGCTAGGACAGCGGAGGCTTAGTAATAGGGTCCTGTCGGTTACCCTTTGGGTACTGAACCCTAGAAATGATATAGTTTGTGTACATGTAAAACTACCGTTATTGGCAGTAATGATTTATCATTAAAAAAAAGCACTTGTACAAATGTGATTTTGAAAGAAACCAACTTTGATAGATTCTTAACATAGTTGAAAAAAGTTAGTCATTTCGTCATGCCATTCTCGTGATATTTGGGTTACACAGTATTATGATACCACTTATTAACGAACGGCGACGATCAATTTACCATAGCAATACGTATTGTAAAACTTAATTAAAGGTTACGCTTATTCATTAGGGTTACCCCTTTGTGCGTTTCATTAGGCACTGGTGCGATAATTAAAAAATAAACCCGATTTAATTTGAGTGAGTTGCGGGACTGCGCTTTAATTTGACATGTCAACAGTAATCCAGCCTATTATTTTCCTTTGCCTTCGATACGTACAATTTTAAGAATTTTTTACACATTTTATATATTTGTCAAGTGACATGAGATTTTTTTATATATAGTAACTTTATCGAGTTTAAGGGTTGTAATAAAAATTTAATGAGGCAGAACAAAGTTATAAAGTTATTCGTTAACTTACCAAAGTTTTTCTACTTGTATTTTATTTAAGCGGTTTTTAATTTATAATTCAACTGAAAAGAAATATAAATATGGTAGCATCGTTATTTGCTACCATTATTATTTTATTTAAAGACAGTAAAAATGTCCGAAGTCGATAAAGTGACCGCTAAAACTGAGATACATGGGACGCTACGTTTATGTAACTTTTGCACCAGCAAGATTGGTCTTTCTTTTGTTGATGCTTTGCCAAACACTATGTTTGGTCGATTGAGGATATACATTTGGTTCCTGGTATCTGCACTGATATTATTTTTAAAACTGTTTGGAGAAATTCACTACGTTACAACTCAACTAATAAAATCAACTTCTGTAGTTGAGTTCGTAGCGGGCTTACACATTGTCGGCTATGATACAATGAGTACATAACATTTTATTTTCTTACGGTTCAATGTCTTATACCATGTTTATGAAATGTATCTTTATGCCATATTCCTTTGTAATTTTTAAAGGTTTCGGGAAAATGTTGACAATTTGGAACAAAAGAAACGCATTTAGACAACTAGTGACAGAACTTGCAGACATCTGGCCAGTTTCAGTTCATGACAAGGAAGAAACATCAATAAAGCAAAGCTGCGTATCCTCTTTGCGGATGGGACAGTTCTGTGAGTAATTATGAAAGAGTGCGTGCGCGCGTATGTGTGTGAGTGCGTGTTTTAATCTAATTTTCAAATAAAAATAATTTTACGGATTTTATGACTTATCACTCTTAACTCACTCACTACAGCCTATCAAAAGTCACTGCTGAGCATAGGCCTCCCCAAGCTTCGCGAATATAAAATAAGTGAAATCACTTATTTTATATTCGCGAAGTTTCTAGTGTCTTGAACTACGCTTTTTTAATTGGTAGACCCACGCTGCGCTATATTACGGTTGTAACACGAATGGGTCGGCTCGACTGGGGAAGCGTGGTGCTCTCACAGAATACCAGCGTAAAATAGCAGCTTGATGCTGCTGTGTTTCGTATGATGAGATTTGGGAACGGGATACCCTTTTTACTGGAAATGAGGCTTTCCATCTTAGACCTCATGGGTGATAACGCATCTGGATTTTGATAATGGGGGATAAATGTATATGTCTATGGGCAATAGCATCAAACTTACCATCAGGTGGAATATGTGTTCGTTTGTCACTATTCTATAAAAAAAATTTGAGACGGATTGTCTGGAATTTAAAATGTTAAACGTAATATAAACTAAATAAAAATTAGTTTCGTTTTGTATTCAGGTAAATATTTGAAAAAAAAAAGAAACAATTTTGTTGTTTTGTAATAGGTAACCGTGTTTGCTTGTATTATCATAAACAATTCTTATTTATTTATAAACTAGCATAAAAAGGATGACTGTTCATGTTTTGTTTATATTTATATAATGATTAAGGCTTCATAACGCTAACCTAGACCTCGCTATCATAAAGTTCTAAATACATGTTTAATTAGTAACTTACCTTAATATTTTTTAATTAAAGAAATCTATCAATGTTGCAGGGTATTCATTCTTGAATATATTAGGACTGTGGTTATATAATTTAACGCCTATAGTAGTGCATTTATACCACAAGATGCAAGGTGTGCCTTCACAGTTGGGTTATATTTGGCACATTACTTAAACTTACCCTTTAGATAAAACTAAACCTGTATATCATGAGTTATCTTTCGTTTACGAAACATACGGAGGTAAAGAATTATTCAAGTGAGATTACATTATTAATGATTCGAATTTTACAAGACTTTTCTATTTTCAGGCGTAGTATCCGTTTGGTCTATGCTTGGTTCTGACATGTTATTCATGACTATGGCGAATCATATAAGTATGTTATTGCGTTTACTACAGCTGAGAATTCGTCGCTTAGGTAGTAAAAACATCAACAATAGTAAATATAGCAACAAAGCACAAGACTGTTACGAAGAAATTGTATCGGTTATAAAAACTCATCAGCAGCTAATAAAGTAAGCATTTGAAGTAATTTTATTTTTCAGCTTCTTTACGAATCATTAAAAACATATTTTTGCCATGTCCACACTCAATTTAGTGGACAAGAGAGTCAGTGAAAGCAAAGTTGAGACCATTGCACTGATGATACTGCTCCTCTTCGCCTCCTCATACTTCTGAGGAGAGAAAGACAAATGCTGGCAAATTATCCCACTCCTTTACTGTACAGATTACAAACGACAAAGCAAACAGTTTGTTATCAATATAGCCTTGTTTGTTAAACAGAGGGATGCACCACATAGAGGATGGTAGAATTCATTTGTATCTCAAGAGAAACCCCAAAGTCGCAAACATCTACATAATATATAAATTAGGCATATATTATCAGAATTCTGGTAAACTTATATTTCTGTTAAAAATGCGCTATGAGCGCCGCTGGCGGTAGATTAGTTTATTTATTTAATGAAGCTATTTTAAGATATCCCTTACTATTCCATCGGGAGATTACGACACATATTCTCGTCAGGTATACCTAAAAACCTGACAACAAGCTTGTACAAAGAGTGTGTGTTGCCAATGGTGACCTATGGATCTAAGATGTGATCCTTCACTGCTGGTCGTATGATGCCGCATTCGTAAGGGAGTGTTGAGTTCCGAAACAGCTGTCGGTGGCATTCGGCGCTCGTGGTCGTTTACAGATTTAGATGTCTAATAGTTGTTTTGACTCGGTAAAAACAAACGCGTCTCTCCGGCTTCCCGTCCTTTCCCTTCCAATACACCGCTGGTTACGTTCACCTGGCCGGCCGACACTCGACAGTGTTGACATGACCGTGACCTCATATAGTACCGCGTGTCCTATTTTAAAATTTTCGTGGGTAGTGTTACGAGCTTGGGGTTTGAGACAGTTAAAAACTGCCGATTGAATTATCAAAATTGACACTTTAATTACAGAACACTAATTGCAACTTAAAACCACACTAATAATAAAACACAATAATTGTAATACTCATCAATTTAGTTCGCAGTTATTTCGCTTCGAAGTATTCGCTTGTATCGCCAATTCAATACTGACTCGGTCGTCGTCTATGCCTTATATAGGGCCTCAGATAATTTCCAGAACCGTCTACTGTAGAAACATCTAGAATGTTCGAGTACATATCGGTCCCAAAATTTCTAGGAGGATCTTGACTCTCCTAGTTCTGCTACTTGATACTAGAGGGCGCTAGTGGTAACAAGTGTTGCCATGTACAAGACATTAATAGTGGCGCGCAACAGTAGAATTACTTGTCACAGCCAGTACTATGCCTGGAAATGGAAACTACTGAATTCTTTTGGATATCACCCATTTCATTACGAACGTGTGCAAGCAGTGAATAATAACATTAGTCTACCTTGAAATCATTTTTGTGAATGGTTGTTGTCTAAAATGTATAATACTAACATTATGTGGACTGACGAAGCGCTATTTATGCGTGTAGGGCTTTATTACAGACGCAACGAGCATTAGTGGACAGTATTTGCATACTCTATAAAAGATAGTTATCATCAAGTGCGATTTAGTGTAAATGCTTGGGCCGGAATAATTGATAACATAATTGTGGGACCGTACCTCATTGAAAGAATGGGTGGGTAATTTGGACATATTATAAGGTGTTATATTAAGTGTTACTGAATAATTTTTATTTCCAACACGTCGGTGCTTCGCCTCACTATTCAAGTGCAGTGCGTGATTATTTTAATAGCGAATACGAAAATAGGTGGATAGGCCGTGGCGGCCCTTTACCATGGCCTGCAAGGTCACCTGACCTTACACCAAAAGCTCTTATTTATGAGGTGAAATAGAGACAAGTTTACGTCGAAGAGCACCAAAGCTATGACGTCCTCCGTAGCAAAATAATTGCTGCATTCACGGAAGTGAAAAGTGCTCAGACACATGTAATTAATGTGAAAAATAATTTAAGGAAACGCGCTCAACTGTGCATTGTGAGAAATGGACTCGATTTTGTACACTTATTAAAATACCAGTAAGTTAGTTCTATTTTAAGTGATTGCATATTTAAGATGTAAATAGTTAATTGTTTTAAATTGTATATAGTCGTAAATACTTTATTCCAATTTTTAAATACGCCATAATAAAGATAGTCATCGCTTTTGTCTGTAATACAACAATATACAACAACATACAATTTCTATCAGTTTTTAATTATTGAATAATATGTATATTGAACACCGACGCGATGTTCGTATCGGTTGAGGTCGGCAATGCTCGGCACACTGCCTTCGTAGCCGTCCTTACCGGCCAGCGCCAGCTAGTCCGCTATAAACGCCTTCAGCGCTAGACGCTACACTCGCGCGGCCTGACTAATATACGGAGAGGCAGAGCCAAAAAAGTCTCTGAATTTATTAAGCCTGGTTTTTTTCTCAGGTGATTATAATCATAATTTACAATAAAATGGTACGGTCAGTCAAGTGGATTTAGAACAGGTGTCTCAGGTGCGCGGTCAAACATGTCGTAACCACCGACATAATAAATAAATTCAATAAAAAATATTTTTGTGATCGTTTAATTTATATAAAAAAATTATTTGTATCCCTATATTTTCTTCTAAAGGTTGAATAATAACATCCTGTACAAGTTCTGGTAATTGATCGCATTTGAACCAATTTCTTAGTCACTGACTGACGAGCGTTGTTCTACGGAATGGCTGACTGACCATTTTATTTATTAATAATGTAGTCAGTAGTAGTTATTAAAAAAACTTTCACGCTTAAAAAACGAATTGCACCCTTATAAACCTCGCTACGTACATTACAGCTGACTGACCAGCTGTGTCCCCATAGGACTTTGACTGAATATCATAATTTTGATTTACATATAAAAAACAAAAGTTCATAAAGTTTCAGCCTTAAGTAATTTATTTTATTATGTCGGTGGTTACGATATGTTTGACCGCGCAACTGAGACACCTGTTCTAATATCCGCTTGACTGACCGAAGCATTTTATTGTTAATTATGATTTTAATCACCTGAGAAAAAAACCAGGCTTAATAATTCGGAGACATTTTTGGCTCTGCCTGTTGGACTGTAACCATTACTTAAATCGTATAACCTATCATTGGCCTTCCAGCTCAACTATCTTTTCTACAGCTAATTGTTTAAATTTATTCTCCACCTCTTTCCCTCACTTTGTAGTCTAAACACGTATTTCGAACTGTGTGTTGGAGTAAAAATATTATTTAATTTTAGGTGTGGTTTTATTTGCACAGCATCTATTACAGTCGCCGATAAAATGTATTTAGTTTTATTTTATTTAATAAGACAGTTATCATTTTATCAACTACGTAGCGAGCATGTCATTATCCTTAATGACATGCTCGCTTCCTAGTAAATAGTAGGTAAAAGCTGCATTAACTCGTACACACACGAGTGCGCGTCGTTGTTGCCGTCGCTGACATTGGCGAATGATCAAAACCGCCATAAAAAGAACGAAGAAGAAGAGCTTAGTAGAATCCAGTTATTTCAATATTACAGACAGACACATCAATTTTATCTATATGTATAGATGAAATAAAATTAGATATAGATAGAAAATAAAATTATGTGCAAACGACTGTCAGGATGCTAGTTGATGATTCTAAATTCTAGTAAAATAAAATAGAGCACACTATAGGTGGCCAGTGTTGAACCGTAAATAAATTTAGTATTGGGGGATCCATGGATATGGGATGCATTCAAAAATATTATTGTGGAAAACGGTCACACAGTCCACAGAGTAAAAAGTAAATGTTGCGTGCTGTGGCCTTCAGACACTTACTTGCATTTCGTTTCTCGGTTAAGAACTCAAATGCAGACACGTTGTCACCAATGACAACTCAATGTCTTAGATGGAATGCCTCGATACCATTAAAATTGTCAATGTTCGAGTCTCTCACCGTAAGAAATACAGCAGAATCAAGCTGGTGTTCTGTTTGAGCGTTGTCCTTCTTCGGTCAAGGTGACTCATTTATGCTGCACTTTTATGCTGCAGCGTTGTTCTACCGCGTAAAATGATTTCTTTTCATTAACAATTTCCAAGTATCATTTTTTTTGTTTACTTGTTTCAGATATGGAAATGATTAGGAAAATGCCTTTACAGTAGTCAATCTTATTAATGTGCTTTTAAGTTCAGTAAATATTTGCTGTGTTGTATTTAATATAGTAAGTTCCGTTTTATAAACACATTGATATTTTGCTTATTAAAATTAAGTAACGAACATAAAACTAAGTTATTTAACTACGTGAATGTTCATTTTCAACGACTTCTAAAATAGGAATGTTTTGTATGTTTGTATGTGATTTTTTCATAATTACCGGAGTTAGTTTCTAGTATATAAAATTTATTTTTCAACTGTTTAGTTATTTTTAAGTCGGTGCATTTAAAAACAAAACATAATTTTTAAATTACACTGCCAGCTTTTAGATCCTTGGATGGCGCTGAGTAATAAGTTTTTTTTGGGCGCTGCACTTACTCAAGTTGGAATACTTTGTTGGTATGCTGATCAAATTTATGCTTCGGTACGTATTTTGCTTGTAATTTTAAGTGTGGGGCTCATTTGCAACTTTCGTAACGTTTTACTGCCTCTGCTCATCTCTGATCATGTGGTCCCGTATTCCAGGTAATGTCAGTTATTAGGTTGGCCAGTCAAAATCAGTTATTAGGATTTTCTGCGAAGGAGTTTTCAGTAGCAGCCCAGATATGAGCAGTATTCAACCCCTGTCCTTAAGAAAACACAAAACCGTTGGTTCTGTGCCTTATTTCTCACCAGTCGTGTAGGATTTTCGTCTCATCGGACTATGAGAGTGTTGGAATAGAAAGTGTAACCGTGTTTGCGCACACACTTTTACACTATTATTATGACCTGCATACATAGCTGGTCTCTGTTTAGACTGCCCACCCTGACTTATATTCTGACTGGAGAATATTGTAACAAAAAAGAATATACCTTATGTTAGGTAAAGAAAATCGGTCTCCTTATTTCATTCCGTGGTCATTTAAAAAACATCTTTAGGAATTAATATAAATTTCTCACAGACTGATAGACAACTGTATAACAATTTAATTTATGCTGGATCTAAAATACCTAGGTACTGCCGACGCGGAGTAGCGACAAAAAATTAAAACCCACTGCTTCGACAAGCGTGACGATTTCGTCAAATTATCTTTACTATAGAGGAGATTAGATGGGCATTATACGGTTTTAAAATTGCTCTATTCCCAACAAAATATTGCGATAACAAATAATGAATGATAATAAGCGTAGTGACGTCTATTTATTATGATTTAACTGCCGAAATTGACGATTAGTGGTCAGCCACCACAGTCTACTTCACCCTTAGAGTATTTATAAGTTAACTATAGAGCGCGCGTAGCGCTCTTGTCTATCATGCCATGTGCAAACAGGTGTTCTATAGATACTGATACATAGATGAAGTGGTTTGATTGACACCTAAGTGTTAATTAAATCAAATTTATAATTTTAATTAGTTGAAGTAATAGCTAAGTAACTAGTAAATATTGGGTAGGTGAGTAAATATATGGTATGTTTTCGCAATTCAATAAAAACCAGGAATGAATTTACAAGACGATGATTATTAAATAATCACAAAAATTAAATAAGTTACTACCCCCTAAAAAGGTTTAATTTATTACACTCCAATAGTTGTCTTTTCCACAATCAATATAAACTGCGAATCTGTCACATACTTGCACAGAGCTCCTAACGCTGGGCTTCCAGTTGGGTCTTTTTATCGCTATCAGCCACATATTTGTTAATTCACGTCTTTTCGGAAAACTGAAATTAGCTAAGTATTTAACCGCACTGCACATTTTACCATGATAACTAAAAATTCTATTAAATATCGTCGAGAGAAATAATTAACGCGCGTGATCTTTCGTGACTAATAACGTCGTCCTGTCCTTTAGAGAATGTTCTAGCGCGTGTTTACAGTTCTGACTTGTTTACTACTATAGTTTATAAATACTCTAAGACTAGACTTGAGGATGCTTCATATAGATGCAAAACACGTGTCGTATTATCGACAGTGGTGTGTCTTTAATAGTGTAGTGATGCTGGGAGTGGTAGTCCTGGGATTAGTGGAGACAGTGATAGCGCACGCAATTGGGGAAGGGCGGGAGGTGCTCTTCAAAATAGGTAACACACACCATTTTATTTTGTTACGCAGATTTTAGCTAACTAATTTTTAACATTTTTACTATAATGGATTTCCGCAAAGAAACGCCTTATTCTATTAATTGTTTACAAGTCCTGCATACACCTTTTTGTTACAAACGGATCTCGGGCTAAAACTATAGTTTACGAAGAGTCTTCATCACTAAGCGGTATTTCAATTTCCATATTTAACGTTTTAGTACGCATATTTCCGTGGGACTCCTTTCATGAAACAGGCTCTCATTCAAACCTGACACTTACTTAGGGGAGGTCTTTTTTAGTGGATTTGTGAAGGACTGTGTTGATGAAAATGATATCATATAGAATCACTTTTGAACATTAATTTAAAAAATTCAAAGAAATTAGGCCTGATTAGCTTTATCTAACAACCTGAGTTTCATTTTACAAAATGTTTCGGGAACATCTTGTGAAGGCACCTAGGAGCTATGCCGCGAAGTTTTTTACCACTTTAGTGTACACATTAACCAAGGATTCTATTCTTTTACCGCCTTAGAATATACATTACCTGAGAGATGTTTACTTTATTTTTATCACTTTAGACAACATGTCAATAAGAAATGTTTATTACTTCTTTATTTTAAAATTTCATAGAGCTCTGGAGTGGCTGATGCGGCATACGAAAGTTCCTGGTATTCATGTAATATACGTTGTCAGCGTGCGTTACTAATTTTAATACAGAGGTATTTTTATTTTCAATACTTATTAGTAATATTCTTCACTCTAAACACGTAATCACGTGTTGATAATATTCATAACATAGCTTCAAGCTCACCCAACTTATTGCAAATATTTTTGTAAGTCCTACATACGTGTAATAAAGGGCTGCGACTGTATGTGCTGGAACAGTTAGAGATATAAAAAAGTAATAATAGTAACGTTGCACTGCTGAATGAACAAACAAATGTTTCTAACTCACCTCTCTTGAATATCGTTAAGCCTGCTCTCTAATGACAGAAAGCCTCGCAATATGGCCGTTTGTCACCCTCACGGTGATCGGCGATTGGTTGCGTGGTTGGAGGGTAGGCGGGCGTTGCGCGGCGGTTTGTTTATAATTTTACAAACGGCTGCGTAAGTACGGCGGTGATTAGACGCATGTTTTATCGCATGACGCAGTCGCTCGCTCCTTAAGTAGGAAGCGGTTGCGTCAGCGGTCTATATAAACAGGAGTTGTTTTGGCTCGCCGCTCACTTAGCGGTCAGCCACCGCAGAGTCTAGATTACCTGAAGATGCTTCGTGTAGAGGCGAAACACGTGTCATTTTGTCGTCGGTGGTGTGTCTTTCCTAGTGTAGTGGTGTTGGGAGTAGTGGTGCTGGGATTAGTGGTGACGGTGATAGTGCACGCAATTGAGGGAGGGCGGGAGGTGCTCTTCAAACTAGGTAAGACACGTCATTTTACTTTATCGAGCGGATGTACGCGAAGTAATTTTTTACCAGCTTTAAAATATTTTTATTTAAAAAAAGATTACAAAAATTGCATTCTCTCAATTTCCAGGTCTCAAAAACCTCTATATTTCACGGCACTAAAGTTTCGTTCTATAACAATGAGTACATACAGCTCGGTAAGATACGACAAATTTCACTAGATGTTTTATAAAATATATTTTTTTGTTCTATAATGACTGTTAACTTTTTAACTTTCTTTTTTCAGATACTAACAAGCGCTTATTCGTACTTCACTCTTCTCTACACCGTATATCGTAGTGATTAAACACATAAATAAATTCCTAATAATACAAAGAATACATACATAGTTTCACGAATAAATATACTTCAAAGTCTGTTTAAATTCATTTTAATCTTAAAAAAATACTAGTTTAGACAACAACTGAATATAATACAAAACTGCGGTTGCCAACCCACTTGCCAAGGGTGGGAATGATCGCAAAATCCTCCCAAAATTGCCCAATGAGGCAATCTTTCGGGGACGCCAATGTTTAGCCGTGGACTTTTGAAAACAGTTGGATAGCCTTTAATGAATGAATGAATGAATATAATTAAACTTCTGTTATATTTGTCCTCACTTAAAAATTCTTGGTAGTAGAGCTTTTTGTCTCCCCCAGAGTTCGTCTAATTTGGCGTCATTCCCGTGTTTCCGTATTTTATCTTACTCCTAAGGGAAAATAACAAATGTTTGGATTATTTGAAGTTGGTCGCAAGTGTCCATAGTCTACACCAGCCACTTACTATCAAGTGAACAGTTAATCCGTTACTTCACTCAAATATCCAAGTAAAATCATTTTCCTGAAATTTCATTGAACTATAACAGACCTTAGTAGTAATTAAAGAATTTAAAAAAATCGCTTATTTGCATCTATCTACGTCAGACATGAAAAAATCTAAATGTATAATAATGAACTCTGTACGCTATTTCACATACTAAGTTTCCATTAAATTATAATATGTGAAAACTTTTCCACTTAATACCACTCACTAAAACATAAAAAAACGTCACTTAATAAGACAAACAGGGCCGGAGTCACCCTGGGGCAAAACACGACAATGCGCGGCGAGGCTCCATACTTTTACCCACACAAATAACATAAATTCAAAGGAACTAAACACAATTTATGGTACTCTTCATATTTACCTATGTATAAACAAAATTAAAGAAAAATTAAACTGTAAATCTATATTTTTTGCAATGGCGGTTGATAAGCTTAAAAAGTAAAGTAGACGTTCTGTCATTGTGAGTGATGAAACAGTTTGCGAACACTGTTAAAACGCCGCGTCATGGAAATAGTACAAACTTACAAAACACGTAGGATGCTTGACCCAATCATCCATCAAACATTGTAAATTATGAAAAGTCTACGTGCGTGCTTCAAGCCGCTAGGCCGTTTCAGAACCTCTTTACGCATACGGAATATTGGTAGTGTATCATTTTAATACAGTTTCATACACTACAATCTAATATCATAATAAATACACGTTACGCACATGCATTTAGACCCGTATTAATAAACGTTACTTAGCTCAAGTACTCGCACTTGAGTACAATCTTGAGGTTGAGATCTTATTAATAGATCTTATTAATAATCTCAAGATGCGGTTTAGGTTTACGATTTTAGCTGAGTGCCACACTGATGAAACTCTACTCTCGAGTGTGTGTACTTGAGATGTAAAAATCTGAGTGCGGGCAGTCCGTGACTTAAGATCGTGATTGTTGACATGGAGATTAAAAATATTAATTATTACGACGAAATTATTATAATGACGATATGTTACGGCCTTCACGATATTGTTTACCAAAAATTTATATAAGAGATTCCTCCGATCCTTTTAATTTATGATGTGAACATTGAACATTGTATATTTATTTAAGTAGGTATAATTTGTTTCATAATGGAAATTCAGATTACTATGTTGATGTTTAAAAAGTGATATTTGTAGTACTATAATTACATTACATTACCTGGCTAGATGCGAATGGACTAGCGTTGTATTATGCAGTTATTTTGCTCCAGGCCTCATTTTTAATACGTAGACACGTGCCATCGGTCTCATTATTTTCCACCATAGCCCTATATTTTTTTATAGTTCCGAAAAAGCATTTTTTTCAAACAGAGTAAATAATATTCTTGATTTCCATTTTTGTATAAATTAAATTTCCCGCGAGATCAATGTTAAGTGATAAAGATGTTTTCCAGTGACAAAAATGTTACATCAGTTTTATATTTGACACTGGCGCTGTCGCTCTTTAATGCGTTAGGTTATTAGTACATATTGAATTAAGTAGTAAACATTTAGTTCGTATTTAGAAATACATAGAAAATAGTTTAAGGTTTTCGACAGTAGAAAACAACTTTACAAGACGGCTCCATGCCGCAGTGGCTTAGCAATGATTTGTTGCGCTGGGAGTCGCGGGTTCGAATCCGCGCACGGAACAAGTATTTGTATGGCCTGCAAATAATTGTTCCGGGTCTGGATGTTTGTCCTCGTGCGATGTATGTTTGTAAACTGCCTCCACGATACAGGAGAAAATCCTAGTGTAGGGGTAACGTTTTTTTAAATAATGGTAATAGTGATACAGCTCTATTTATTTAAGTTTTATCAAAATAAAAATATTCAATAAATCTCACGATATAGCAAAATCGAAACGTGATGAATTATATTCTAAACATCGGTCTATGTGACTCAATCGTTCACGAGATCAAACCTTCAATTCGGAGAACAGTATTATTCCTAAGTGCAATGTCTTGAGATATTGTTTTTATGTGTTTATTAATTAGCAACGATCTTGAGATGCTGATATCGTAATGAGGGTGTATCAAGAGATTACACACTTGAGTTCGTCGTTGAGTAACGTTTATTAATACGGACCTTATTGTGCTCTAGCGCATAATCTACAAACGCTGCAGTGACGCCGTACCAATATCCATTTCGACGAAATCGTTGCATTTTAACAAGTTTTCAACAAATTGACACGTGCCGACAACGCTAACCGTTGAGTTTCACTCTACTCCAAAATAAAACAATCATCATCATCATCATTACAGCCCTTCACAAGTCCACTGCTGAACATAGGCCTCCCCCAAGGAATGCCACAAAGCCCGGCCCTGAGCCACGTGCATACATCGGCTCCCTGCATTTTTTCTCATTCCAACCAGTTCAATACTCTATCTAGTGGAAGGAGTGCCACTCGAGAACCTTTCTCCTTATGCGGCTATATCGCCGGCCCATTGTTACTTTAGCTTATTAATTCGTTGGGCTATGTTGGTTACTCTGGTTCTACTGCGCATATCCTCATTTTTACGTTTATAACGCAGAGAAAACCCGTGCATAGCGCTCTCCATAGCTCACTGAGCTACCTTGAGTTTCCTCATACGGCCAATAGTGAACGACCACGTACTCAGATTTATGAGTAATCACTGGCAATATACATGCATTTTTGAAGATTTGAAGAATACCCGACGAGAAGATGTGTCGTAATCTCCTGAGAGCTGCTCAGCCGAGTTAAATCCATCGATTGACCTCTCGGTCGAATTTGGATTTTTCTAGTCGGAATAAATTTTTCCCAGGAAAACAGGAATACAACGTCTAGTACTCCCAACAACTAGCGGCATGGGTGTGACATGGACGTTATACATAATCAACAATAAAGGATTATAAAATTTTACAAACGCAAGCTTTGTACGAGATGACTTTGCAAAATAAAATGAATGAAAATTATCTAAATAGACATTTCTTTAATTTAATTTTCAATAATTTAAGACTTGTTGGGTCCCGAACATATGCGATGTATTGTATTATTTCATATGTTATAATATACTTATATACCATGTAATTTAAAGTAATTTTTGCAATACAAGATTGTAAAAGCTTCATTAAGAATTATTTCATTACTGTTCTAATTTTCCTTTCAGGAATAGTAACAATTAAATTTTCCAAGTCAATTATTTTAAAGTCAAAAGCGTTACGCGTATTGCGTTACTTAATATATTTAAATTAAATAGCCCTTATCTAATTGATAGAATCAGGCGTTACTCTGCTTAAATCCATTATAATGGGGTTGTTATAAACTAATTTGCTTAATTCCGCGTAAAGAAAGAAAATGATGTGTCCTGCCCAGTTTTAAGGGGACCCCCCACCCTCCCTCCTTCCCTTAATCGCGCGCACTACCCGTCGCCTTTAATCCCAGCACTACCACCCCCAGCACCACCACACTTGGCACGACACACCACTCTCGAAAATACGACACGTGTTTCGCCTCTACACGAGGCATCCTTAGGTGAAGTAGACTTTGCGGAGGCTGGCCGCTAAGTGAGCGGCGAGCCGAAACTACTGCTATATATACTACTTGCTGACGCAACCGCGCTCCAATTTACGTAGCGAGCGATTAAGTCATGCGATTAATCACCGCCTGACGTACGCAATGATATTATAAAGGACCCTTTTTTTATAATATCATTGGACGTACGCCGATATTTCCTGTGAAATTAACAACAAACTACTGCGAAACGTCCGCCTACCCTACAGCCATGCAACCAAACGCTGATTACCGCATCGTGAGGGTGACAAACGACCATGTTGCGAGGCTATATATCATCAAGGAGCAGGCTTAAACATGTTTAAGAGAGGCAAGTTGGAAACATTTGTTTGTTCATTCAGCAGTGCAACGTTACCGTTATTATTTTTTTAAATCTCTAACTGTTCCAGCACACACAGTCGTAGCCCTTTATTACAAGTATGTAAGACTTTAAAGAAGTGGTCATTGGCTAGGCTGTGTCCAGTATCTAAGAGATGTTTAGCAAAATGTGATTTATTGGGGTTACAATTTAGCCGCGTACAGGCCTCTCTTAAACATGTTTAAGCCTGCTCCTTGATGATATATAGCCTCGCAACATGGTCGTTTGTCACCCTCACGGTGCGGTGGTCAGCGTTTGGTTGTGTGGTTGTAGAGTAGGCTGACGTTTCGCAGTAGTTTGTTGTTAATTTCACAGCAAATATTGGCGTACTCCCCTGTGTGGTCCCCTTAAAACTGGCAGGACACATCATTTTCTTTCTTTACGCGGAATCAAGCAAATTAGTTTATAACAACCCCAGCCCTTGTCTAATAATTAAAGATACTCTCTAAAATATACGACGTAAAGTGACGTCAACCAATTCACTAAACGTCATTGTAAATATTTGAAAAATCCAAAAGTGCACGCCTCACACGCTTATTATTCGCGAATTCGCCCGCGTGGAATTTTTTTGGGGCCTTAAAAT